AGTCATCTATTCAACCTCACCATAGTCAGTTTTCATTTTAATTACCTCAAGAAACCCCGTGCCTTTCAGCTATCAACTCCCTCCTCCCCTCCCCCCCAATCAAGCAACCACTGATTTGCTTTCCATCTCATAAATTTCCCTCTTCTGGACATTACATATACATGGAATCATAATATGTGGTCTTTTGTTACTGGCTTCTTTCACTTAGCATAATGTTTTCGTGGTTCATCCATGTTCTAGTACGTCAGTATTTTATTCTTTTTGTATGGCCAAATAATATTCCATTGTATAACTGCTACACATTTATCCATTTGTCAGTTGATGGACATTTGGGAGGTTTTACCTTTTGGCTATTTATTTTTTTAATTTTTAATTTTTTTTTTTTTTTGAGAGAGAGAGAGGTCCAGCATGAGTCGGGGGGAGGGCAGGGGAGAGAGAGAATCCTAAGGAGGCTCCACACTGGGCTTGATTTCACAACCCTGAGATCATGACCTGAGTCGAAATCAAGAGTCAGATGCCCAACCGACTGAGCCACCCAGGCGCCACTACCTTTTGGCTACTATGAATAATGCTGCTATAAACATTCAAATACAAGTTTTTATGTACATGTATATTTTCATTTCTTACCTAGGAATAGAATCTCAAGTTATATGGAGACTATGTTTGGTCATTTGAGGAATTTCTAGAAAAACAACTTTTCTAGTTCTTAATTCCTTCATTTGTAAAGTGGAGATGATAATGGTGTCTATTTCATAGAGGGTTGTTTTTTGGTTTTGTTTTTGTGGTGATTCAGTTAGAAAATGAATATATGGTTCTAGCTCAGTACCTGCAAATGGAGACTGAGTAATGAAGGCTATTTTTATTATCATCTGGTCTGGACTCTTCCACTTGCATGCTGGGTCCATCTCACTCTTGGGGCCTGAATTCCTTGTCTGTCAAGCAGGAAGACTAATATTCAGTGATGAATACAGAATGACTTGGAAAAGGAAGGTGTAGAGGGGCTGAGTTGTTGCTCCTGGCAGGGTCTACTTCCTCTTCCTTCTCCACCCCTCCTGCTTCACCCTTTTTCCTGGTGCTGATTAGTGGGTTCTTGGTATCCAAGGGGCCCAGCTCCAAGTTCCAGCCCTGCTTCATCTAGAGCTCTGGAATCTGATCCTTGATGTCCTTACAGAATTCTAAGAAGATGCCTGGGGGCAGGAAGAGAAGATGTCATGCCCAGGGACTCCAAGTAAGGGTTTGTTCCAGATGCTCCATGCTCCCAAGTGAGCTTCAGCTTGGAATGATCAGAAGTTAGACCTCCAAATGGATTTTGTGGGTGGTGCATTTTGGGAAGGTATGGGGCATGCTTTCACCTCTCAATAGTTATTGGAGTCATTCTTAACTGCTGTTTCTGTTAAGGCTTATTTTACATATACTGTTATATGTGCTCACACTTCTATGAGTATTCTCAGATTTTGATATATAAGATTAAAAAAGCTGCTTACTCAAATTTGTAGCAGAGATCTGTAGAGAGGCTGTTGGTTTTATGAACTGTAACACCACTCTTTTTTCCCTTTTCAAGAAAGCTTGTAGGAAAGGAAATAAGAGAGTGTCACATTCTAGGGATAGTGTGTCACCCAGAGAGGAGGTCCATTCTGCCCATCTTGGCCTTCATGGAGCTCCTGCCACCTTGCCTTCCTCAGCATCTGTTGGTCTGGATTTTGTCCCATCTCCTTCAGGCCAGTCATTCCTCTCTCCAACTAGACCAGCAGCATTGTATTGTGGAGGGAGCTAGACTTATGAGTCAGGTAGCCCTGGGTGCAAATCCTCTCCGCAGCAGTCGCTGTCAAACCTTTAGCAAGTCCCTCAGCCCTGCTCAACCTCAGTGTCCTCATCTTTAAATGGGAATAACTCCTCTCTCAGAACATTAGAGTACAAGGACTTACCACATATGTTTTGTACACAGACTCTCCAGGTGCCTTTCATACATAATCTCTAATCCCTTCACCCATGATGTGGTGGGTGCTATCCTTGTTGTCCAGCTGAGGCTTAGAGTGTTCAATGGCTAACGTAGTAAGGGTGGTCTGTGCCCTGTCATCCCTTTGGGCCTTACCTTGACTTCTGCCTTATGGCTGCCAGCATCAACACCTCTTTCCTATGCCTGGGGAACCCAGCACAATAAGGTTTGATGGAAGGCAGTGCCTCACCTCCCACCTCAGAAGCCAGAGTGTTGTTGGTTGCTTGCTTTTCCTGACCCCCCACACGGGGAGTGAACACTAGACTCAGCCAATTGGATGCTCCCATCTGGGACTTTGAATCTGGGGAAAATGACACCAAGAAGCAGTGGATAGTTGAGAACTCATTCTGACAGCAGCAGGAGCATCCTGTGGCTGGTCTTGGTGGTGGATGCTGTGCTCCATGGCCACAGTTCCAGCAATCAGGTTGCTCCAATGGCAGGAGCTTGGAGCTTGGCTGTGACTCAGGCCACCTGGGCTCCTTTGGCATCTGCCTACTCTCCTTCTTGTCAATTTTGTGAGATTCTTGATACTCTTCCTCAAGTTCCTCCTCAACTTAAGTCACTCAGACTCGGTTTCTGTTGTTTGTAATCAAGAACTCTGCGTAGCAGCTATGTGTCCCCAACGACAGTCCTCTGGTATTTCTGAACCTTTTCATTTTCTGCCTAATACTCCCATCCGAATGCTGGGAGTCATTTGCCTCTGCTTTGTGCCAGTCTCAGTCTGTCAGTATTGGCTAGAAATGCCAGGGGGCACTCACCTGGCCCTGGTGAGCTTCCCACAGACATCTTCCCTTTCCAAACCAATGTTGTGACTGGATTGACCCTTGTAGTTCTTATGATTATAAGGCACCTGTCAGTAACAACCATCAGGAAACTTTGAATAAATAAAGATTTACTATTTACAAGACCTGGAAATTACACCGCACACCTGAGGCTACACAGGAAAGTTGCAGGTAAAGGGAACACATGGGCCTGGGGTTCTGTTTTTACTGGGGTAGAGGGTGGGGGACCTAGGGTTTTATAGATATGCTCTTTTTTTGGTGAATTTAAAACATAAGAGCAGGAATTTAAAGCTCAGGAAGATAAAAGAAAAGAGGCCCAAATGGTCAGTTATCAAACTCAGCCAAGATCTCTAAAACAAAGGAGCATGGCTGTCTGCAGCATCCTTTAGCCCAACCCTCGGGTCTGGAGGTGTTGCTGTTAGCAGTGTACATCTGTTGTTTTTATCTGCCCCAAATACCCTTCTTAAGAGATGGTCCTTTCTCTCCTTCCACTGGTGGCTGGGGCTGCCGGTCACAAGACCTGCTTTCTATTCCAAGGGGTGGGCGCCTGATCCATCAGGTGGACGGGGAGTGTGAAAATATTAAAAAAAATGCATTGGGAGAGAAGAGTTCTTCCTTTCCCCTTACCTATGAAGATATATCTTACCTATGAAGATATAACCTTGGAGTTGCTTCTGACTGTGTTCCTTGCCAGAAGAAGGAAGGAAGCTGTGTTAGTTTCCTAGGGCTGCCATAACAAATCACTGCACAATTAGATGGCTTAAACCAGCAAAAATTTATTTTCTCACAGTACTCAAAGAAGTTCAAAATCAAGGTGTCATCAGGGTTGGTTCCTTCTGGGGGTTCTGAGGAAGAATCTGTTCCATGCCTCTCTCCTGGCTTTTGGAGGTATCTGGCAGTCGTTTGCATTCCTTGGTTTGTAGACACATCCCTCCCACCTGCCTCCATCCTCATGTGGCTGTCTTCCTTCTGTGTATGTCTCTGTCCAAATTTCGCTCTTCCTATCAGGATACTAGTCATTGGATTAGGGTCCACCCTACTGCAGTATGACCTCATCTTAACTTGATTAAATCTGCTAAGACCCTATTTCCAAATAAGGTCACATTCATAGGTTTGGGGGTGGATATGAATTTTGGGGGACATTATTTAACTCAATACAGAAGCTAAGTTAGCTAAGGGTCAAGAGGTGGAAAGAGAGAGAACCTTAATGACAATTTATTAATTCCTAAACCCAATCAGCCTGGATGTAGTGAGCTTCACCCTGGACTTTCCAGATATGTGAGTTAAAACATTTCATTTCCTTTAAGCTAGTCTGAGTTTGGTTTCCAGCACTTATAACTGAAAAAGTCCTGACTAATACAGAGGTGAGTGAAAAACCGGAATAAAGCCAGCTGGGATTTTAACAAGAGACCAAAATGCAGTAAGAAAATGTGAGTTTCCTTTCTCTATTCCTTTCCTTCTATGCAATATGCCAGTCTCAAGACATAGCACTCCCTGCATCATGCTGGTCTTCAGAGTCTTCCAGGGTCACCCTGGTAGGAATGTTTTCAAGGGAAAGAGTTTACCCCTTTATTTACTTCTTTCTTTTGCATGATTGGACCCAAATACCCAAGAAATTGGGATAAAAAATGAGCCATATTTGGGAGCTGATCATTGGAGGTATAGGGACACAGGTAGGGTTGGAGGTTTGATTCAATTGAATAATGCAGCTTATTCTTTGTACTTGGCACTCAGCACATTGCCTGACACATGGTAGATGCAAAATGAATATTTATTGAGAGGGTGAAGGAAATAGCATATATTGTTTATGGGGGAAAATTAACCGAAGCATACATGATATGATCCCAGCCCTTGGGGCTCTCAGTGTAGATGGGCAGATAATGTGCCCTCACAAAGTAATTACATAATAACATGAGAAGATCCACAGTCCAAACATTTGGGATTCTAGGGAGGAAGGGTGGAGGTTTAAGAGAGAGAGAAAGATCCCTGGGGTTTGGGTGCGGCTGTTAAGAGAGGATTCGGGGAGGAGGAATAAGTTAGTTGGGTCTGGAAGGACAGGGCTCTTCTGCTAAAGAAGAGCAGAGTGGAAGTATGGAGAATGGAGCTTTGTGTCCTCCCCGGGGGATGTGTAGGATGGACAGGCAGAGGTGTGTGTGTGGGGGGGTCTGGTTGGTGATGGGAGGTAAGAGTGAAAAGGAAAAGTCTATGGGCCAGGAGGTGTCTCTAGGAAGCCAAGATCCTGCTCTTGCAAGCTCAAAAAGAACAGAGAAGAACCCTTATCTCTCCCATCCATCTAGATTTCATGTTGGGCCAAGATGTGAGGCTCCCAGCTCAGGCACGCAATGATGGGGTTTATATGCTCTGTGGGTTTGTGTGTGGCTAATCTGTGGTTTAACATTGCTATGGTTTGGGGTTTGTCTGTTCCTTTAGAAGCTTCTGGTTGTATATGACAGAAATTAGGGCACTGCTGGAGCTTTTCTCTTTTGCTTGTTACAATTACGCAGCAGGAGACAATCCAAGCTAAGGGCTGATTCTAGTGCTCACCATCCTTGATTTGATCCTACCCTCCATCTATGTTGACTCAGTTGCTTCCCTCCTCAAGGCCTGGCAGGGGAGAGAAGCAGGAAAGGGAGTGATTCTTTGTGGACTTGACAGCTGATTCTTCCGCATTTTTAGATTCTTGCTTGTGGGCCAGGGGGACTAATGGTGACCTCTCTCCTGGGTCTCTGCCTCCAACTCCCACCTCCCAGCCCTTTTCCTGCCAGATTCCCTCAGGGGTTTCTCTCTAGGTTAGAAATGGTTCTGGGTGTGAGTGAATGTCTTCTACTCTCCCGTGGCCTCCTCATCCACAGCAGCCTGGATATTCCCGGCCGCTTGCAGGCCAGAATTGATAGCAGTGTCTATCCAGCCATGGGGCAGGCTGGTGTGCTCGCCTGCAAAGTGGATGCGGCCCTCGGGCTTGAAGAGCTCCTGTGAATAGTCGATAAACTGGTAGGGTGTGAACTCAGTGAAGGCACCCATGGTGAGGGGGTCTAGAGACCAGCGCTTAACCACGGAGGAGGGGCACATGCGCCGCAGCTCCTCCTTGGGTATCTGGTGCACGGCCGCCAGGTCCTCCAGGACCACATCCTCCAACTGCTCATGCGTCATGGATGTGAAGAAGTGAGAGTCATCGTCCACGGTGTAAGAGGCCAGCAGGATGCTCTTGCCACTGGGGAAGCTGTGGCTGGGGTAGTAGATGTAGCGCGAGGGCCTGTCGGTGACAGAGACCCCACCCCGGATGCCATCCCGCTCCCAGAAGGGCTCCTCACAGGCCAGGATCACCTTGGTGGCACTGGTGTAATGCACCAAGCGGAGTGCTTCCGTCTTGTTTGGGGAGAGCGGTGGCTTAAAGGTGATGAGGCGCGTGGCCTTGGCTGAGGCCGTGATGATGACAAAGTCCGCGGTGAGGGTGTTCAGTGCCCACCTTGGCTTGCCCAGCTGGTAGGAGACCCGGACTTCAGGCCCATCCCTCACTACCGTCTCCACGTTGGAGCCCAGGCGGATGGTGCCAGGCTTCAGGCTAGCGCTGAGGGCTTTGGGGAGCTGGTCGAAGCCACCGGTGATCTCGGAAAAGCTGCAGGGGTGAGGGGAGGGCAGAAGGGGAGTGTGGGGGCACTGGGCCCCTTTGCTGAGTTGCTGACAGCCTTCCTGGTCTGAAAAGCAAGGAAACTAGCTTCCTGCAGCCTGTGCGGGATGCTTCATATACATCTCCTTAGCTAGTCTGTGAGAGAGGGATCATTGTTTAATTTTATACTTTGGGAAACTGTTACCTGGTGGAGAGGGACTGTCCCAGGATGACACCCACAGTCTAGACCCACAGCCCATGGATTCAGCTACCATACAGTCCTGTGTCCCAGGATGAGTCCCACAGACCTGGGTTTGGATTCTGGCTCCAGCTTTCACCCATTATGTGACCTTGGGTAAATTATAGAATTCCTCTGAGCCTCAGCATCCTCACCTGTAAAATGGCTCTGAATAATAGTACCAACCTTCCAGGTGATTCAATGGGACAATTTTTTGGAAAGTGCTTATCACTGTGCCTGGCACATAGTGACTACCCAGTAATCGTAGTTCCATTTCTCTGCTCTGAGAGGTGGAGGAGGAGCAGATTCCATCCCTGGTCCCAGTTGGCCTTACTTGTTACTTTTGGAGAAGATGAAGCTATCCCACAGGGACTCTAGGAAGGACTTATAGTATCCAGAATCCTCATTCATCACAGTCCCAATCATCTTTACTGCTCCTTCGCTCAGCATCCCTTCCTTCACCAAGTAAGCCTGTGGGGAGGTAGAAGCTCCAGATGGAGGGCCCCACATGTAGGAAGGGGCTTCAGCAGGGGCCTAGGGCAGGCAAGGGGCAAGACTGGACTCCAGGAAAGTGAAGACTTTGGTAGTGGGAAGAGAAGATCCTTGTCATCAGGGGACAACCCCAGGGGGCTAGGCTGAGCACAGACCCCTTCCACCCTTATCCTGGGACTTCTGTGCCTCACATACCTTGGTGGAGTAAGAATCATAAAAGGACAGCAGGTGGCTGCAGTTGAAGTTGTTCAGATTTTCTTTGAGCTGCAAAAGGGGAGAAAGGGGAAGAGCTGAGATTAAAGCCACAGAGCCAGTGGCAGGACTCCTGCCTTCTCTGGATGTCCCTTTAAAGAGGGGAGGAACAAGGTGGTGGGGGAATGGAAAGACCAGGGGAAGGATGCTGCCAAGAGCTCCTAAATGTTCCTTTTTCCTCCTAAGTCTCCCTTTCATTGAAGGACCTTTGGAGACTGAAATTTAAGGGGAAGACATTCACTGCAATCCAGGAAGATTGATTCGCTACCGAGGACTGAGTTATCTGGTGATTCCCCTTCCTTCCACTGTCACCATCAAGCAGTAAGCCATTGGACCACCACGGACAGGGAAAGAGATGGGGCTGGGCACTAGGGACAGGGTGGCAACATTCTTAGGGGACATTAGAGGAGAGACCAATCACAAGGGTGCTGGAATGGGAACCAGGCCACTTGGGTCTATCCACTAACTTGCCAGGTGACCTGGGGCCAGAACTTGTTCTTTCCCGACCCTGGGAGGGGTGAAGCAGTAGGCACCTTGGCAATGGACTGGTAGAAGAGATTCATAGGGCTTTTGCCCTTCTCCGTTGGGCTTACGGAATAGCCCAGGACCTCTGGATTGTCCTGGACCTCCCTGGTGCGATAGCGTTGTCCTTTGATGAGGTACCAGGTGTTGCCATCATATGATGTGAACTTGTTCAGCTTCAGGCCAAGCTTCTTGATGTAGGTATGAACCAGCCTGGAGCAGATACAGGTGTAATCATGACACCTCTCCCAGTGACACCTCATTCCTGCTGGCTTGACTATAGAGGCCATTTCCAGGGAAACGAGTTTCTTCATGTGCCCAGGGAACTCGGACTGTTTTTCAACTCTAACCCTGCTTCCTCATGTTGTGGTATTAATTCTTTTCCTTCTGTTTTTGCCCCAAGGAAGATCGTGAGGACAGAGTTTACCCATCACCCAAGGAAAGCCCTGTAAGAAATCCCTGAGTACAGGACTTAAGTAGAGACCAAGGCCTTTAGTTTCAGACAGTATTTGAAATCCCATCTTCCATTTCTAAGGAAGGTGAGACCAAATCTAAAGACTCCTAGTTTGGGCTGGTTCCTTTTGTTTTTGTTTTTGTTTTTGGTGGTGTTTGGAGGGGAGACTTGGGTTCAGTTTACACTTAAGGCAAAAAAGTAATCATATTTTTGGAGGTCTGTGGGACACCGGGCGAAGGATCTCTTTTGTCTTAGAAGCCTCAGAACCAGGGGCTGGGTTCTGTTCCAGGAGCCAGTTAGAGCGTAGGGGTTGAGTGTATGTTTTGGGGCCAGTTGCCTCCTTGATTTTGAAGAGGAGCTCTGTCACTTTCTCCTAGGAGAACCTTGGATGAGTCACTTAATATCTCTGAGCCCAGTTTTTTGATTTGTAACTGGGAAAAATAAGAGGATCAGATGAAATAATGCACATGTGGCATTCAGCACGGCACTTGGCACATAGAGGTGCTCAACAAATGTCAGCTGATAGGATTATTATTATTACTTTGTAGCCTAATGGGGTATAATTGACGTATAAGAAGCTGTCCATATTTGAAGTACACCATTTGATGAATTAATGGTAACTATTATTATTAGTCTGGGACCTACCACTTTCTGTGTGACCCTGGGCTCTGAACCTCGGTCTTCCCTGTCAAATGGGAGACCACTGTTGGTCCCAACTTGCAGGATTGAACCACATGAGACAGTGGATCTGAGAAACTCTGACACTATAGCTGCAAGGGCCCCTGTCCTCCCCCCTCCCCGCCACCTAATTCCTCTTGCTTGCCTTTTGCCCATTCCTTCCCTGGGACTTACCTATGGGACTTTGGGATTCGCATGGGCCCCAGTTCATGGTACCAGCCCTCCTTCTCGTTCCTGAATGTGCTGACTCGACCCCCGATGTGGTGGCTGGCTTCCAGGATGGTTACCTGGGGTCCAGAGGACCTGCTGTTGTTCTCAGCATCATGCTTTCCCTTCTCCCACCCCGTACACCCATCTCCATCCCGCCACAGGCTGTAGTCCAGAATTCCCAGCAGTAGGTTCCTTGAATGTGCAGAATAACCAGATGGAGGCGGGGAGGGTCCTGAGTAATGTAAGTGGGGCAGAATGCTCCATGGGGGACCGAGTGCCTCTTGGCCTTTTCTTGTTCGCATAACTCTTCTCCACTTTGCTTCCATGAGAACACAAGTGCAGCTAGGGTCAAGTCTTGGGGGAGCCTGGAGTTTAGAGGAACCATAACTGACGGCTAAGAGACCCAGCCAGTTATGAGCAGCCATCTAAGAGCTGGCTGTATCCTCTCTCTTTTTCTTTTCCCGCCCAAGAAAGCAAACTGGAGGCAAAGGATTGAAACCCCTCCAAGATCTGCTCACCTGGTGGCCAGCATCCTGGAGGGCCTTGGCCGCCACCAGGCCTGACATACCAGCTCCCACTACTACCACGCGCTTGGGCACCGGGGAGGTGTGGAGTCCCTCCTGCGCCGTGACAAGACTGGACTCATATTCGGGGTCCTGAAGGCACTTGGCCAGGTCCTCCAAGTAGCCAAGGCAGCTGGGAGTAGCCAATAGGAGCCCCAGGATCAGGATTCCTGTGGCGGAGAAGGGAATTGGGGGCTGTCTTTCTGGAGCCCAGGCTCTATGTGCTGCCCTACCCAGGAGGAGCGTGGCCCTGTGAACGAGCAGGGGTGGTGCCGTGAAACAGTATCTGTCAAGTGTGGGGTGTAAACATGTGCGTTTCTGATTGTGTCTATGTGGGGGCAATTGTGTTGTGTGGGGTACGGCTGGATATGTGAATTGTGCTGGTGTTAGTTGTGCGATGGTAAATGTGAATGCGTGTGTTCATGTGTGTGCACGTGACTGGAAACTCATGAGTGTGTCCAGGGTCAGCTCTGACTGTGAATATGCCTGCTTCTGATGGTGAGTGTGTGTGTGTGTGTGTGTGTGTGTGTGTGTGTGTGTGTGAGCCTGTCTGTGATGTAAGTTGCAGCAATCATGAGTTTGTGATTGTTGCCCTGTAAGACTGGGCATCATCTGTGATTTCATGGGAGGGAGTGTGTCTGTGGCATGGTGTGGACCCCTGAGCAAATGTGTGGATGAATCTGTATGGGACAGCGAGGTGGGTGTGTGTGGCCTGGGTCCGAAGAGTGAGCGTGACATGCATGCATTTGCTGGAGTTTGAGAGGGAAAGTGGTTGCCGGTGTTCTAGTGTGTGATTCTGTGAGTGTGTTTGAGCGTGAAGTTGGGTGGCAGAGCCAGAGGGTGTCTGTGTCCTTTGAGAATGTGTGCATTCGTGAGGGCATGGGTGTGTGAAAGCAAGAGTCTGTGAGGCTCGCTTCTCTTCGGGGGGAGCTGTGATCAGTTTCTTAGTGGTGTCGCCAGTGCCCCATGGGACCTTGGCAGGCCCACTGCTCTTCTCCAGCCTCACAGTATTCTTTCACATCCCTCCAGCTTTCCTCAGCCAAGATGGGAAACTGTAGTTAATACGTAACACACAATGAGTCCAGAGTGACGTGGTTTTCATCTCCACAATGAACTGCTCTGATGCACAAAGAGATTCACCTGGGAGTCTGCAACAAGAGGCTGTGTGGCTTCCTGGGTGTCACCTGCTCTGACGGGGAACAGCCAGGAGCTGTGACGCACTGTACCCCCTTGCACCAGCCCTATAGGATTTGGGGGTGGGTGAGAAGCCCCTTAGTCCAGGCTTTGTCCATGCCGGCCACCCGAGGCGCACTGAAGGAAAGGGATCTCCAGGGGCCACCCACTGAAGAGGGGCAGGAGACCCAGCTGGCTCCCAGTGCAGGCCCTTCCAAATGCTGGGAGAACCTTCTGCAGGGGTGACTCCTCAGAAAAGAAGAGAGGGTGACCATGCACCGTGGCAGAGATCCCCAACCCTCACCCCCTCTCCCCACCTTCCAGACCTACCTCAACCTCCCAAATCCATTCTTGCCCCTGACAAACTCTCCCATCTCCCTGAGCTACCACCATTCCTGTCTCAGGCCCCATATCCTTCCCCGTGAATGGGCCCAACCCCCAGACTCATTATCCTGACCTGGACACATTCTCTTGACTCCCTTTCAACACCTGGACCTATGTGCAGCCCCCGATCTAGCCCTGTCCTGTCTCAGTCCCTCTGCTTTTCCTTTTGCATGGCCCTATGCCCAGACTCTCCCTCCAGCCCACCTCAACCCCCTCCCTCCATCTAGCTCCTTGCCCTGTTTCCTCCCTCAGGTGCCTCACTCTCAGATTTAGAGGAGGCACCCCACTTACCCCTCATCTTGGCCATGGTCCTGCAGCTCCTACTGAGTCTGGGGCAGCTCTCCCCCTCCTTATGAGGAGCCAGCTCCACCCCAGCAGTGGCTGGCCGCATCCCACTAGCCTGCCCCCAGGGCTGGGCCAAGCAGAGAAGCCTTGCCCTCCTGGTGAATAGACCATGGTGACTCAGACGATCCCTGGCCTCATCTTCCTCCTGGCCCATCTCCCTTCTGAGGGAAAACCCCTTCTCCCAGCTCAGTCCCCAGCCCCTGGGTACCAGTGAGGAGGCGGGGTTGTGGGAGCCGTGGGCCATCCCAAACCTGCTGGAACCATCTCCCAGGAAATGCATGAGGACTGAGGCTAAGTGTCTGGGCTGCCTTGGAAGGCCAGCGTCCGGGATCCTGGCCCAGGTCAAAGTTCCCGACTGCTCCCACCAGAGAACGTCTAGTTCTACTGCTGTCTCACTGTGAGCCTTCTGTTCTACTGTTAGTCTGTCCGAGGTGGGGATTCTGGCCAGGAGCTCCCACGGAGGACTGTGCCGGTCCTGCCCTTTTCAGGGGCTCCCTCAGCAGGCTGGGCAGACATCTCTGGCCTGGCCCATTTGCAGTAGGGGAGTGTTTTTTTCCCCCTCTTCCTCTGGGTCCTCTGGGGCTTCCGTAGATACAGGCTGGCTTCTCTGGCACTGGAATTCCTTCTTCTGGGGAATCAAGCCAGCTGGCTGTGACACCAAGACTAGCTCTTTGTTCTCTCTGTATACAGTGCGGGTGGAGACAGGCTGGCTGGTGAGAGAAGTGGACAGGAAGCACGCACCAATCTAGCAGCATGGGGCTGGGGAGGAAGGCAGGTAGGAGCACTTGGCATCGGGGGCACAGGACTCAGATCCTGGTTACCAGGGGTGGCGTAGGGGAAAGGATATCAGCAATGGAGTCCAACAGAACTGGGTTCAAATCTTGCTTTATTATGTCAATGCTGTGTGTCTTAGGGCATAAGGCTTATACCTCTCTGAGCCTGAATTTCTTTACCTGTAAAATGATGCTATAACACTTTCTTTATAGGGTGCCTCAGGATTAAATGGGGTGATATATGTGACGAGCTTGGCATAGCACCTTGCACTCTATAGGCATCTAAACTGACTTCCTTTTTCTCTTTGGAGATAAGGTCTGATTTGATACCAGATCACACACAATCATAATATCTTTCAAAGGGAGGTAATTTCTCCACCACAAGGTGGCCGGAAGAACCAAAGAAAATAACACATGGGGGTTACCGTGTGAATAGCTGGGTTTTAGGCACAGAGCAAGGACTCTTTCTCTCTACTTCCCTTTATTTTTTTGTAATAGCTTTATTGGGATATAATTCACAGATCTTACATTTCTTCCACTGAAAGTAATTCAGTGGTTTTTAGTGTCTTTACAGAGTTGTGCTACTATCACCATGATCAATTTTTTAAAAAGATTTTATTTATTTATTAGACAGAGAGAGAGAGCACAAGTAAGCAGAGTGGCAGGCAGAGGGAGAGGGAGAAGCGGTTCCCCCACCATGATCAATTTTAAAACATTTTCATTATCCCAAAAAGAAATACGCTACCTGTTAACGATCACTGCCCATTCTGCTTGTCCTCCCAGCCCTAGGCAACTACTATTCTGCTTTCTGTCTCTATGGATTTGCCTGTTCTGGACATTTCCTATGAATGGCATCATACAATATATAGTATTTTGTGACTGGCTCCTTTTGCTTGTATAATGTATTCAAGATTTACCCATGTTGTAACATGCATCAGTACTTCATTCCTTTTTATGGCCAAATAATATTCCATTTATGGCTGAATAATATTTCATTTATACCATATTTGTTGATCCATTTATCACTTAATAGCCACTTGGGTTTTTCCCACTTTTTGGCTACTATAAACAATGCTGCTCTAAACATTCTTTTGTTAAGATTTTTTTTTAAAAGATTTTATTTATTTATTTGACAGAGAGAGACACAGCGAGAGAGGGAACACAAGCAGGGGGAGTGGGAGAGGGAGAAGCAGGCTCCCCGCAGAGCAGGGAGCCCAATGTGGGGCTCGATCCCAGGACCCTGGGATCATGACCTGAGCCGAAGGCAGTCGCTCAACCGACTGAGCCACCCAGGCACCCTCTTTTGTAAGATTTTATGTGGACATAGAGTTTCATTTCTCTTAAGTATATATTTTGGAATGGAATTACTGGGTTGCGTGTTAACTCTATGTTTAACCTTTTGAGGAATTGCCAGACTGGTTTACAAAGAGGCTGCACCATTTTATTTTCCTACTAGCAACAAATGAGAGCTCCAGGTTCTCCCCATCTTTGACAATACTTGTTACTATCTGTTTTTGATTATAGCCATCCCAGTGGGTGTGAAGTGGTATCTCATTGTGTTTTTTTATTTGTATTTCCCTTATGACTAGCGATGTTAAACATCTTTTCATGTGCATAATGAACATTCATATATCTTCTTTGGAGAAATGTGTATTCAGATCCTTTGCTTATTTTTACATTTGGTTATTTTGTCTCTTTATTATTGGGTTGTAAGAATTCTTTATATACTGCAGATACAAATCTCTTGCCAGATATATGCACATATATTAGTAAATATTTTCTCCCATTCTATAGGTTTTCACTTGCTTTTTTTTTTTTTTTTAAGATTTTATTTATTTATTTGAGAGAGAGAGAGAGAGTGAAAGCACGAGCGGAGGGAGAGGGACAAGCAGACTCCCCACTGAGCACAGAGCCCAACATGGGCCTCAATCCCAGGACTCTGGGATCGTGACAGGGGAAGGCAGATGCTGACCCAACTGAGCCACCCAGGTGCCCCAGGTTTTCACTTTCTTTCTTTCTTTTTTTTTTTTTTAAGATTTTTTATTTATTTGAGAGAGAGAACATGAGAGGGGGGAGGGTCAGAGGGAGAAGCAGACTCCCTACTGAGCAGGGACCCTGATGTGGGACTCGATCCCGGGACTCCAGGATCATGACCTGAGCCGAAGGCAGTTGTTTAACAAACTGAGCCACACAGGTGCCCAGGTTTTCACTTTCTTTTTTTTTTTTAATTTTTTTATTCTTATGTTAATCCCCTTACATTACAACATTAGTTTTAGATGAAGTGTTCCATGATTCATTGTTTGTGCACAACACCCAGTGCTCCATGCAGAATGTGCCCTCCTAAATACCCACCACCAGGCTAACCCATCCTCCCACCCCCCTCCCCTCTAGAACCCTGTTTGTTTTTCAGAGTCCATCGTCTCTCATGGTTCGTCTACCCCTCCGATTTCCCCCACTTCATTCTTCCCCTCCCACTACCTTCTTCTTCCTCCTCC